GTGCCTTGCGTCTCTAAAGAGCCACAACTCCCGCCAAATAAAACTTGCGACCGGGCGGCGGCCGGCCGGGCCGAGCCGCCAGTGGAGGGGAGGGACTCTCGGTGCACAACAGTCTTTGTCCGCGCGGCCGGCCCTGCCCGTCCCGGCCGGCGCTGACCTGTCACAGGGGGGCAAGGCCGTTGGCCGCGACTGCCTAATTCATTTCGGAGGAGGCACACCGATCTGCTGCTTCAAACGGATTCGGTTTTGTTCCCGTCCAGAGGACTGACTCCGAGAGTCGTTTGCGTCGCTCCGTCTCTCTGGCGGGAACGTCCCATGAGTGCGTTGCGAGAGGGACAGAGCGACGAAAACGACTCTCGGAATCAGTCTGCTGAGAGTAGCGCGTGCCGGAAGCCCGGTGGGTAGGCCGCCCGGCCAACACAAACAGGAGGTGCACTGCTCTCGTGCCGCTGGCCTGACAGTCTGGAGGAGCGTCATCGTCATCGTTTGGCTTGGCTCGGCGGCGCAGGAAGTGCAGAGCAGTGCAGCGCCAACGAAGACGGACGGTCGGCGCGCGGCGCTTCATTCGGCGCAACAAGTCCTGCAGACTGATTCCGAGAGTCGCTTTCGTCGCTCTGTCTCTCTCGCGCTTTCACGGGACGCCCCATGAGTGCGAGAGAGACAAGAAACGACTCTCGGAATCAGGTCGCTGTTCCGGTCGATTCTGCACGCCAAAGGCTTCGCCTGCTTCGCCACCTACCGAAAGGCGCCCGTGGGAAAGCCAAAAACGGTGCGGCTCTGCTCTCACGCTTCCCGCTCCGAGACGAGATGCTAATGACTCTCTGGCCTTTTGCATTCGGATTCCGATTCGGATCCCGATTCGGACGCGCTGTTTGTAAACAACACTGACCTAACGTCATCGCGGCGACGCGCGGCGACGCACGCACGACCGCTGCGTCGTCCGGGGGGCGAGAGAGAGAGAGAGATGTGGCGCCTCGCGACACGCGGGACGCGCGTGATGCAGCGGGCTGAGAGGGAAGTCCCATCTCTCTCTCTCTCTCCCACACGGGGCGGGGCACTCAATGGTGCTATAGAGAACTCCCCCTCGCGGAATCAGTCTGCAGCCCGACGCCCAGTCGCCTTCCTTTCGTCCAAAACTTGAAAACTTTGAGGTGGACACCGGCGCAGCCCCGCCAGAATACTGGTTACGTCTGTGCGGTGCACTTTTCTCGCAGAAATGAGCCGGTCGAGGCCCGAGGCTGTCCGAGGCTGTCCGAGGCTGTCCGAGGCTGTCCGAGGCTGTCCGAGGCTGTCCGAGGCTGTCCGAGGCTGTCCGAGGCTGTCCGAGGCTGCCCCAGGCTGTCCGAGGCTGTCCGAGGCTGTCCGAGGCTGTCCGAGGCTGTCCGAGGCTGTCCGAGGCTGTCCGAGGCTGTCCGAGGCTGTCCGAGGCTGTCCGAGGCTGTCCGAGGCTTCGAGCTCCGAGGCTGTCCGAGGCTGTCCGAGGCTGTCCGAGGCTGTCCGAGGCTGCCCGGGCTGCCGAGGCTGTCCGAGGCTGTCCGAGGCTGTCCGAGGCTGTCCGAGGCTGTCCGAGGCTGTCCGAGGCTGTCCGAGGCTGTCCGAGGCTGTCCGAGGCTGTCCGAGGCTGTCCGAGGCTGTCCGAGGCTGTCCGAGGCTGTCCGAGGCTGTCCGAGGCTGTCCGAGGCTGTCCGAGGCTGTCCGAGGCTGTCCGAGGCTGTCCGAGGCTGTCCGAGGCTGTCCGAGGCTGTCCGAGGCCCTGCTTCCGAGGCTGTCCGAGGCTGCCCGAGGCTCCCGAGGCTGCCGAGGCTGTCCGAGGCTGCCGAGGCTGCCCGAGGCTGTCCGAGGCTGTCCGAGGCTGTCCGAGGCTGTCCGAGGCTGTCCGAGGCTGTCCGAGCTGTGAGATTGTCCGAGGCTGTCCGAGGCTGTCCGAGGCTGTCCGAGGCTGTCCGAGGCTGTCCGGTGCCGAGGCTGTCCGAGGTTGTCCGAGGCTGTCCGAGGCTGTCCGAGGCTGTCCGAGGCTGTCCGAGGCTGTCCGAGGTTGTCCGAGGCTGTCCAAGGCTGCCCCAGGCAGTAGCCCAGCCGGTGGGATGACACGGTTAGCGTGCGCGGCGTGCGCAAGTGGAGAGGAGGCGGCCTCTCTTTCCAGCGAAACGCGGACCGCGGCAGTGGCAAAGCACTCAGCTCGCCACTCAGTGACTCAGTACATCTCGGGACGGGGAGGCAGATCATTCCCAGAAACGGATGGATGGACGGACACACACGGCACGCCGTGGCACGCCGTGGCACGCCGTGGTACGGACAGGTTAGGGTCAAAGTCTGCAGGAGTTTGCGCTCACGCTCCCTCCGCCTCAGTCGCCTTAACCTATACACTATACACACACCGCTTCCCCAGGCAAATCTGCCAAACAGCGCCGCCCCGCCCCGCCCGCCGCACCCCGCCCCGCCCCGCCCCGCCCCGCCGCACCCCGGGCGCCCCGTGCCGCGGCTTGGTCTTCGCCACGCGACATCCAGAAATATACGGGCAGTGCCTGCGGCTGCGGCGGCGGCCTGCGGGAAGGCTGGCGGGGTGGACAAGAAGACCACTCGGTGGACCGGTGCCAGGCTGCCGGGCACAGTGTGCCAGCGCGGCCGGCCCGAGGAAGGGTTAGGCTAAGGAGGCGGCCGAGCCCTTGGCTGAGTCTCAGCCTCTCCTCCAGCGGCGTAGCTGCAGCCGCAAAGAGCCCGAAACCGGCGCCGCACCGTTCCAACCTCACCACCATGGACTTGGTGCCTTTAGCCACGCGCTGAGTACCCCCTGCAGAATGACTCCGAGAGTCGTCTTGGTCGCTCTGCCTCTCTCGCACTCAGGGAGCGTCCCCTATAGGTGCGAGAGAGGCAGAGTGACGAGGACGACTCTCGGGATCACTCTGCTGGTCCGCACCGCCACCGCCGCCGTGGCGTCCACCATGCGGGAGCCCCAGCCCCTACAAGCAATGCATGGTGTCCTCAATCTTCCGGCCCGGCGGAGCATGTGTCGGGCGGCAGCAGCTGGTCCAAGACGACAACGACAATAAAGGAGGGCAGTGACCTTCACTGGCCGCGATTTCCCTGACCCCTCCCCTCTGGTTGGGGCTACTTGGCTGCACCGCCGGCTGTGTTTGAAAATACCGCGCGCTCCCCCCGCCTGGCCGGCTGGCTGCCCGCCCGCCCGCCTGCCTGCCTGCCTGCCTGAATTTTTGCCTGCTTGTCTCGCCTGTCTACCTGCCGCAAGGGGTGGCTGGTCGGTAAACACCTCCGAGAGCGAGGCGCGGTGCGGCGGCACGGCGGGCGGCACGGCGTGCGCGGAGCCGAGCGGGGTGCCTGCCCAGTGCCCAGTCCGGTTCCTTTTATCACTCCTCGGTGCAGGACGACAAAGTCGACCATAATTTTGGTCGGCCCTGCCCTGCCCTGCCCCGCCCGGCGGCGCCGCGCTGCTGAAGGTCACGAAGGCCGTCAACAACAGCGGAGAGATCCACCCGAGCGACGGTGTGGCGGGGCCTGGCGGGGCGGCTCGAAGCGACGCCAACTTCGGGAAATGTCCCTTGAATGACACGCCGTGTTCACGTGATGGTCAACGGGGAAGCTCCTCCTGGTACCGTGCCGCGCCCTGCCCTGCCCTGGTGTAAACGCATGGACCGGTCCTAACCCACTCGGTTTACGTAAGGAAAACGCATTTTACGCGCACCTAATTTATGCAAAGCACCGCCGCCTTTTGGCTTTTCCGTTGCGCTGTGTCCCGTCCTGTCCTGTCCGGAGGCGTGAGTGCTGTGCGGTGAGTGGCTTCTTTTTAAAGAGAGATTAGGCGTACGCTCCACGAACTCCGCGGTGCGCCGCGGTGCGTTGGCGAGTGAGCGTCGTGACTGACGTCAAGAAGCCGCATGTGACGCGCCTAGGACCGCGCCACGCCACCCGTCAGTCAATCCAGTGACTCACTCAGTCACACGGCCTGCTCCGGGGTCGCGCAGTGGATTTGCCAGAGGACCGGAGGAGGCGGCCGAAACCCTCGACGCGTTTTGAGCTCCAGAGTCGCTAAACAGGACTCGAACCGAGCGTGACCCTACCAATGGATCCCTCGTTCGGACAGCAATCCATTGGTGGGGTCACACGTTCGGCTCGAGTCCCACTTAGCGATTCTGGCTCTCAAAACGCGTCCAGGATTTGGACCGCCGTCACTGGTTTTCTGACCCATTGTGGGTCGGAAGTGGAAGCAGCGAGGACGGAAGGCCACGAGTACGACGGGCACCTAGGGCGCGACGCGCACCGCGGGCCTGCACTGCAGCAAGCCGGTGACGACTAAGCTAAAAATAAGGAGAATGGCACGGAGACAAAGACAGCAGCGACGGCAGCCCCCGCGGACCGCGCGGACCGCGCCGCACGTCCTGGTCCCCAGGGTGCCGCAGGGTGGTGCCGCAGGGTGGTGCCCCAGGACCGAATGCAGGCACAGTGCATTATTTATTTGGTGAAGTTGCAGGAGGCAGCAAGCTGCCGGCCGGCCTGTCAGCCAGCCAGCCAGCCAAGCAGCGAGCCGCCACCCTCGAGCACTTGTTGAGGCTGTGCAGCGATAGCCCGCAAATCGGGCAAACAAATGGCCGCACGCACTGGGCGCAAACAACGCGCGTGTGTGCAAGTGTGTGAGTGAGTGCATGAGAGAGTGCGTGAGTGTGCGTGTCGCGGGATCAGAGCGATAGAGAGAGAGAGTCTGCAGATTTATTGACGAGAGTCCTTTATCAGCGCGATGGCGCTGGGACTTCCCTCGCGTTGCCCAAGGCAGCCCAAGGCAGTCGAAGGGAGAAAGTGTGATAGGCGCGATGTCGGCGTCGACACCGACGACAGCGGGCTGGTTCCGGACGGAGCGCTCGTCGCGCTTGTCTCTCTCGCACTCACGCGGCGCTCCGTTGGGGCGCGAGGGAGACAAGCGCAAAGCCGCCTTCCCTCCGCTTGACGCTTGACGCTTGACGCTTGCGCGGCTCGCGCGCTTGACTCACCTGCAGGCTGTTTGTGGGCCCGTCTGCGCGTCGTCTGCCGACGTATTGCCGCGCGGGGAGGGCGGGCCGGCCGGGCTGGCGGGGGAGCCGATTAGGCGAGATGCTTATTATCTGCTCCTCCTTCTCCTCCTCCTCCTCCTCGTCCTTTTCCGCGTCCGCTGCGCTGCACCAGGACGCCACGCCGGCGAGGAGGTGCTCGCTGCACTGCTTTGGCTGCTCGCCGATGCACCGGGGGGCTTGACGGCGCGCTGCGCACTGGCGGCTGACGGGGACGTGCGGTGCGGCCGATGCACTTGGTGCACTTCACCACGCCGTCGTCGTGGTCATCGTGGTCCAGTGGTGACGGCTGGCCCGGCGCGGGCGGTGGGGCGGTCGGGCTGGCGGGCGTCGATGTCGTCGAGGAGGCAGCAGCCAGGCAGCAGCGCCGCACTGTCGTCGGACTGTCGTCTGCTACACTTGGCTGGGAACTGAATCGCCGCGGTGGCCAACAAACTCTGGCCGGCAGGCAGCAGGCGGGCTGGCCGGCGGGCTGGCGCTGGCGGGCCGGGCCGTGGCCGTGTTGGTCGCCTGCTGGGCCGACGGGACGGGACGACGGGACGGGCGGCGTGACGCGACAGCGCCGCTCTGCGCCGCTCCGGTCGGTGTCCGAGTGTCTGTCGGGCTGCGGCGCGGTTCGGCGCGGCAGGCCGGTCCTCGTTTATCGGCCGGCCGACGTCGTCGTGCACGACCGCGGGGTTCTCGTTCTCGGCGACCCGACGACGGCCAGGTCGGACGCGGGACGCACGGCGCGCGACGTGGAAAAACAAAGCGAGAACGGTGGAGCGCTGGAAGTGACTGGAGGCGCGATGAGTGTCCGCGGGGACGCCCTGCACTGACTCGACGGCGGGCAAATAATGACTGGATTGGGGAGGCCGTGCCGCTTCCGATATATAGCCACACAAGTTGAGGGCGCGCTGCCGCTGCTGTTGCTTGGCTGTTGCTGCCGCCGGCGGAGGGGGAGGGGGAGGTATCGGCCGTGATGGCGACTGCCGACGTCACTCGCCGAGATTTAAGCTGCTTGGCGCCCCACCAGCCCCCCTCCCCCTACCCCTCCGCGGCGCCCTTCGCGGGCCGCGACACCGCCGGACCATGTGCTAGGGCAGGGCGGCAGGGCGGCGGTGGCGCGGGCGGGGGCGCCGCGGACGGAGCGCAGTGCAGGCTGCACTTGGGTGGGGCATTCCCCGTGTTTTCGCAGGCAGGCTGATTAGAGAGGAGTCGTAGTCAGAAAGACACCTGTTGGCCGCTGGCGGCGTCATCGCCACTGCGGTGCACGGCCAGCGCACAGTGGGCCAGAAGACCGGCGGAGGCGGTCAAAGTCCCGGCCGCGTTTTGAGCTCCAGAGTCACTAAACGGGACTCAAACCGAACGTGCGACCCCACCAATGGATTGCCCTCCGAACGAGGCATCCAACGGTGGGGTCACACGCTCGGTTCGAGTCCTCGTTAGCGACTCTAGAGCTCAAAACGCCTCTGGAGTTTCGGCCGCCGGTGCCGGTCTTCTGGCCCACTGTGCAGCGGCCTGGCCAATCAAAGGACCTATAATTGGTTTCCTCGGAAGGCACGAAGGCGGCAAGGCGCGTTGCGACTCGGGAAGGCTCGTTGCTCGTTTGGTTATTTCGGTGGCGCCGCGCTGCCGCGCTTTGTCCGAAGCGGAGGCGAGGCGCGAGGTGCGTCGTGCCCGCGGTGGTGCCCGCGGTGCCCTGGCCGCGGAGCGAGCGGAGCCAGCCGGCCCTCGCGGTGCTGGCGGTGCTGGCCGTGCTCGCGGTGGCCGCCACGCTCCTCCCCGCGCACGCGGAGCACCGAGGAGCACGCGGCCACCACGCGGCCGCCGTATTTAATGCACGCGGGCGAGCCTCTGGCGTGCCTCTGGCGTGCCGCCCGAACGTGCCGTGGCGTGGTCTGCCGTGACGTACCGTGACGCGCGCGGGGAAAATTTCGGTCCCCGCCGCTGGTCTCTCTGGTCTCTGTCTCTTCACGCAGAAACCGTCGCCTCTGCTGCGATCGACACTGTCGCGGCAGCGACCCTTCCGTTTGACTGTCCCCGGTACACTTTCATTACACTCGCTGTTTCAGTTTGGTTACTCGACTTTTAAGGTTTTTGAATCATCCAAGGTAAAGGTGTGATGAAAAAGCTTCGTGCTCAAGTCGATTGTTTGGAGCGCCTGCGCGGTAGGAAAGCGCGAGGCAAGCGCGTGCGGCGGGCTGGCCCACCCTGCGCCTTGGAGCGCCTGCGCGGTAGGCAAGCGCGAGGCAAGCGCGTGCGGCGGGATGGCCTACCCGCAACCCTGGCAGGCGCTCCGTGCCGCCGAACTTCGGATGCACAGCAATGCACGGTGGAGTGGCCGGTGTCGTAGGGCTTTATCGTAGTCGGGCTCGTGCATGCTCCCCGCAATGCAAGGCGAGTTACCTCCCATATCCCCCGGTTCGTGTTTCGGTCATGAAGTCGCGGCCGGCACGCGCGGTGACGTCACCACGCCGGACGGCCCGCGCGGCTCCTCAGAAAAATCATCTTCCCCCAAAGACAAAATAGAAATATTGTCGAACCCCACCCACCCCCTCCAGGCCCCTTGTTTGTGTTTTGACTCCGAATCCGGAGGAATATGCATGAGTTCCGAATTTTGCACGGGCTTCCGACTGCGGCTTCCGAGTGAAGTGTGCTGCTCTGTGTTCTCCCTTGGCTGCCTCTGCCGCTGGGAACACGTGTCGCGTCGCGCCGAGTGGCGCCGAAACGTGTCGTCCATGGTGTCCCTTTGTGTGGCGGATATTACTTCCCGCGACTCATGAATATTGGAGCACAGGACTGTGTCTAGCTGGCGCCGCGACACGCCCACGGCGGGTGCGAGAGAGACAGGGCGACGGTGGCGATGCGCGGAATCAGCCACCCGCCCGGCAGTGCAGGGCAGGGCGGCAGACTGATTCCGAGTGCCGTTTTCGTCGCTCTGTCTCTCCCGCACCCAGTCGGGACGCCCCGTGAGTGCGAGAGGGACGGAGCGACGAAAAGGGCTCTCGGAATCAGTCTGCAGGCCCTCCTCTCACTGCCATTAATGCCGCGCCGCCCGGCGATTGGGCGATATCGGCACGCCGCGGCGCCGCGGCACGCCCTGGGGATTTCGGGGATCGATTCGCATTCGCATTCACATTCACATTCGCGATAGTCAATGTCAGTGTAGTGTAGCGACCGAGCTTGCTGCCCGCCTGTTGCAGGCCCTAGACCCCCAGACACGCTTGGGCGCGTGGCTTTGAAACTACAACGCGATGATGCGCTGCTGGTACACAACACCTCCCTCCACCACCACCACCGCGGTGGCGCGCCACTCGCAGTGTTGTTGTTGTTGTTTCAGTGGGTCTTTGTGTCCACCCCGAGGATAGGCAGCCAGGCAGTCCATCGCTGGCTTGTCTTCACAGCTTCAAAGTCTTCATTCAAACCTCCAAAAGGTCGAGGTCGGCCACCGAACTCGCATTCGTGTGGTGTTGGTGGCCGACCTGTCAGGGGCTTCAGTCTACGCTCAACGAACGCGCCAGGTGTTCAATCCTGCGGGTCTTGGTTCGTTTTTCTGCAATGTTCTTCCTTTAAGGGCAACCTTCGGACTCGCTGGTCCTGCATTGGGGCGGGTTAGTCCTTGGGCGCGCCCGGAGAAGGTCTTTAAGAAGCGCCACCTCGCACTATGATTGAGTTGTGTTCTGTTTGAATTTGGTTGTGATAGTATAGGGCAAGGGATTCGTATTAACGAAAGTTTGGGGAAATTAAAGAACGTTTGGGGTGGTTTGGTTGCCTACCCAGCAGGCGCTTCCAATGCGGACAAATTGTTTTAAAGCAATCTCCATGCCCGCAGGCAGCTTGTATGCGTGCTGCGCGCTTACAAACGTACGTTCTCCTTCCTCTAAACCGACGCGCCATTTAAAGTCTCTAAACATTCATCCCTATGGCTCGCTATGAAAACACTATTTGAATGTTCCCGCCTGTTTTGATACGCAGACGATCGTCGCTTGTCGAGCTAAGGGCCTGCAACCCCGTTTCTTAAAAAACGAATCTATATGCACGACTTTTCTTTCTATTTAGAAAGAAAATAAATCAAGATTTTGTCATTAGTAGGTCTTTACATAAATGATTTCTCTTTCAAGCGTGCTGTTCATTTCATGACACTTAAGTGGCCTGAGTATTTATCTGTGAAGTGGTGGTGTGTTGTTCTACGAGTTTTTGTTTTTTAAATGCTTTCTGCTGGCGGGAACCAGGCCCTAACCCATCCGAACGAAGTGTGAACGCATGGTTATTTCATTCACATGAATCGTTGCGTTGGTTTCGAACTCTTGAAGGTTGTTGTTCATGTAAAATAGACTCATTTGTACGATGTCTCAGAAAAATCTTATGTCTTTCTTCAAACCGGTGCAGAAAAAGCGTACGTCAACCGAAGCAAACCTGTTGAATGCATCTGGCGACGTTTCTGAGAACGACTCAAAGAGGATGAAAGTGGATGCAACATCTGTTCAGAAGACTTCCTCTGACATCGCCGATTCCATCATTCAAGAGGAAACTCCAGCGCCAAGTGATGTAAAGACTGCTTCTGATGATAATCCTGATGCAAAGAGTCAAAATTCCGACTTGAAAGAAAACGATCCTAACGCTTCAAATGCATTACTGTGTACGCCACCTAACAAAGTCAACCCAGATAAGAAAGTAATGTCTCCCTTTGGAATGATTACACCATTGCAGTGCCTTGCCAAAATTAAGAGTCAAGTTGCGAAGACACCTGCCCTTCATCATTCTATCGGATCGTCGTGGTTTTTTGCACTCCATTCCGAGTTTCAGAAACCATATTTTTCTAAGGTATGCATGTGCGAATATTGTCCTTTGATAGAGCTGTTGTCAACATTTAAGATATTTAAGCTTATAGTTACCTCCTTCCATTGCAGCTAAGCGAGTTTGTATCACGAGAACGTCAAAGAGGACCTGTGTTCCCACCTGCGGATCAAGTTTGGACGTGGACTACCAAAGTCCCCATCAAGGAGATTAAAGTTGTAATACTTGGCCAGGATCCATATCATAATCCAGGACAAGCTCATGGTAAGTATTTCTGACATTGCCAATCACTATGTTCATTTTGACATTTTAATGATAATGAACGTTTTGTCAGGGTTATGCTTTAGTGTACCAAAAGGAGTTACTCCTCCTCCCAGGTAACGATTTATTTTTCTTTACCTGTCTTTATAAACTTTGACCTAATCTGTAGCCGTTCTTATCATTGTATGGGTCTTTGTATGTTTTTCAGTCTTCTTAACATGTACAAAGAACTGAGTACTGACATTCCGGGCTTTGTTGCACCGAAGCATGGGTATTTGGATGGATGGGCTCAACAAGGTAATTAAAAAAGAAAAGCAAATAAATTTAAGTGTGCATTGCTTTATGAATGTCATTCGTCTATTTGTTCAAGGTGTTCTTCTTCTGAACGCTTGCCTCACTGTCAGAGCAAATTCACCAAATTCGCACAAAGACCAGGGCTGGGAGCAACTAACTGACGCTGTGATAAAGTATATAAGTGAAAATGGACGTAATGTTGTGTTCTTGTTGTGGGGCTCCTATGCTCAGAAGAAAGGTTCTGTAGTTGATAAGAAGAAGCATCACATTCTGAAAACTGTGCATCCCTCGCCACTATCTGCTCATAGAGGATTTCTAGGATGCAAACACTTCTCTCTGTGCAATGACTTCTTAAAAAAGTCAGGGAAGAAACCTATTGACTGGTCATATTTACCTTGATTTCTGGGTGACACAATTAATGTGATTTGGGCTTTTTTATTTATTTTAGAAAACTACATAAGTTTAATTTTTTTTTAAATGTGCATGTTTACTTTTCATGTGAATATTTATTAATGTGACTAAAGCCAATTTACATTTTTTGAAGAAAAATCAAAAGAAGAATGGGACCTTAGTTTGGCGCCTTTCAAAAATTCTGAAAACTTAAATTTGGGAGCTGGTTGGGAGCACGAATTCAAAATTTAGCGCGAGACCAGGCTGGCACTGAGGGATAGTTTTCCCTTGGCTTGTATCTTTTTTTTGGTGTTGATGTGCAGTGTTCTTTCATTGTCCTGCAATTCTCTAGTTTTTAATTCGTTATATTTGTCAACTGAGGGAAATAAAATGCCTGTCAGTGCTGTGTAAATGAAGCTCTTTCTCATTTTTAAACTCCCCGCAGTTGTTACACTTGAAGCGGGCAAACAGCCACGGAAGTGCTGTGACCTTCTCTCTCTCAACTCCCGAGACCGACGTAGAGAGAGAAAGAGACAGATGCGGAGGGCTCGTTTTCGCACGCGTCCGATTGATCATCATCGTCATCGTGCCCTCGCGCGAGTCACGTAGTGTCATGGAGTGAATGGAATTTCCTATTTCTGTTTCTCGTGTTGTGAGAGATCGGCTGGTGTCGTCCGGAGGACAAGCCCGGTCGTCTCGCTCATCGCGGCGCGCTACGAGAAGAACTATGCCCAAGGAGTCCGATGCCTGTTCCTGGATTCTTCGCCGTCGTGGCGAAACCGTGGCTACTTTTAGCACGCCTCCTCTGAATCTCCATCCCCGGCTTGCTTTAGGCCACTTGAGGCCATCGTGCGGGGGAGTGGGCCTGGCGATCTGGTGATAAGCTTGTCGTGAACGCGACAACCCCAGCAGGGTCCTAGCGATAGCACATGTTGTCCTATTTTGAAGCGCTACGCAGATCAAATCAGCAGTGTCGCATCCCACAAGACCCATCCCACTATCGTGGGATGTCGATGTCAGCTTCTGGGAGCTCTGTCTGACAGGGGTGGAGTGTTGTTTTCAAACTTATGGATCCTCTTGAGGATAACAGATAAAGTCTTGGAAATGGCTGCAGTAAAATTGGGACTGCAAGACAAAAAGGACTTAGACACCTTCACCAAGTTCCTTGCACTGAAAGCTGCTCAGATCATTGTTCAGTCTCGCCTGGGAGAGAAAGTACATACAAAGTGCAAGCCCCATTCATCAGGAACGGATTGGGTAATTATTGATGCTTATTATTTTAGCTATCTCTTTGCATCACAATATATTACATTATACTGTGTAAAGTGTTTGGAAGAATCCTAACCTTCTCTATGACGGCTAGGATACATGTACCCTTGGATGTTTACATTAAAAAAATCACTGTGTTTTTACGATCGTTTGTTCTATAGCTTGTCTTTCTTTACTGATTTTTTTTCAGTTCAATTTGGCAATCAAAGATTTACCTGAGGTTTTGTCAGAAGCGAAAAGAGTACTTTGTGGTGAAGTTGCCACAGCTCGCCTACCGCTTTGTGTTGAAATTTCCCTGAAGACTGTGGAAGGGGACACCATGATGTTAGAAACATGGTGTTTAGGTATGCTGCCTGATCACTGTGATCCTTCGGTAAGTCTTTATCAAAACATTCATGGTTTATGGTTTATCTTTATTTTCTCATTATTTGTTGATGTTTTGTTCCTTCTCTTTTCAGGTCAGAGTAACCTACACTGTTTATAATAGAATGAGTATTCTGTTAAAATCATTAGTATCAGTGACAAGATGTACCCCTGCCTACAAATTGTCTCGAAGGCAAGGTCCAGACTCTTTTGTTATCTGTTATCGGATTTATGTGGGTGAACCTCAATTTCACAATTTAGGTAATTTATCTTAATTAACTTAATTGAATGTATTGCAAATATGAAGCCTATTGAAATCTTTTTCTAACTGAGAAATTATTTTAGGGGAGGGGTATAGCCAGGTTCGCGTTGGCCAGCTGAGTACCCCTGTCGGTACCCTGCAGTTGTCAGTTGCATATCGAACGAAAATGACAATTAGCCCTCAGCATACGGGACGAGATACATCAATTATGCTGAAATCAGATCATTTCAGACCAGACCTGAGTCCTCGAATCGTCACTCGAAGAGAAAGGTAAATACATTTTTATTTAGTGTCCCATCATTTTCAAACAAGGGTCACAGTCCCATTTGCTCTGAGATACCACGTTAATAAATGATGTTTTCTTGTTATTTTAGTGTTGCAAGCTCACTGTTGAATACAGAGGACAATACTACCTCACTTAGTGAAACTATTAAAGTGGGTGCATTTGCTGACAACAGCAGGCCCACTGCACCTTCTGGAGATGTTGATCTGGTTTTTCCAGATGTTCCTTTTAGTAGCTTACTTTTGCCTAGACAACAATCACCTCCTCAGGTAAGAAGTCAACTGTCTTGTTTTCTTTACTTGTTTTTTGGGGGGATGGGTTCTATCTCTTTGTGATGTCGGTTGATTCATTGATTGATTCCTCCTAGGGCTCACCATTACAAATGCCTGTGTTGACAACACAGTTCTCTAAACAAGAGGCTATCACTAACACTGCAATCAATACTCCTCTCCCAGATGATAATTCTGAATTGAGTAGTGATTCAAACGGAAATGTTACACCTCGAGCAGTCTCAGCATCAAACTCTCGTCGATCAAGCTGTTCTCTCGCTTCTGCTAATGAAGACTTCATTATGGTAGACTTGGTAATATTTTGTAGTTGACTAACATAGAAAAATTCCTCCACCATTTCTTGAATTTTCTGTTATAGTATTTATAACACACTCTTAATTTATACAATGCAGTTGAACCTGCTTAACTGTGACGATCAGTCACCACCCCTTCAGTACTGCTTTTGTCCATTTTCTTGTTCTATCCCTTTGACACTCATGGGGATCCTCGTAAGTGTTACAGAGACTTACCATTCTTTGGAAAAAAAGCGAGACCTGATGTTCTGATCTACAGATGCCCCATTTATTCTACTTGTAACATCTAATACTAATGTTGTATTAAGAAGTTAAACTAGTGCACCTTTCAAGAGTTGAAAATTTGGTGTTGATGTTTGTTTCTTTTTGTTTGTTTTTCAGAAAACTCCTTTTGCTGGCAGTAATGCAAACAGTGATTTAGGAGCATTTTACAGAGAATGTCAAAGTGCTCCTCCTCTACGGACATTTCAGGAAGTTCCTACCCTTGCTCAACAAGTAGAAGATTTAACAGAACAATTGGAAGCATTTGAAAGCAATATGGCTGAGTATGAAGAGGTACTCGGCCAATTATGTCCTCAGACTCAAACAGATGGCAATTAAAGTTGTGATTTGGTTGACATTAATGGACTGAGGTTGATGATCACCAAGTGTCTTTCAACTAACCTTTTTATCTGATTTAAATGGAATGATCAGATAATATAATTGTTGTTTCATCCTCAGAAATTGCAACAGTTTCCAAACCAATTCTTCTAGTAGACAATTGTTTATGTGCCAAGGACCAAGCCAAGGTGTATTAGGGAGCTTTATATTAATTTTATATTGCAGTTTAGAAGATACTGCAGCAAACCTCGATAGAATAAGACTCTGAATTGTCTAAATTTGGTGAGCTTTAAGGGCCCGAATATGCTACATGGTGACTCCACTTTGTATCAGAAACGCTGCTATATAACTGGTGCTTTTTCTTAAGAGTTTTGTTAAGGGGACATTCATACATATTATGTGACCTTCTGATGTCATGAAAACCCTGCACTACACCAGACTTTCATAAATGCATGCCAAGTTTTATAAGTATCACATTGTATGAGAACCTTCCCAATAGAGAGGTTCAGTAGAACAAAGTTTCATCTGACTGTTGAAATCGAAATATTTTGATCTAATATATTTTGCTACTCAATAATTTCCAAATTCCTACTCGAAGTTTTTTAATCCTTTGTGCTAGCATGCTGCTGTTTTCTAGTTCAAAAAGATTGATTGTGAAGTGTTTCTTAAGCCTGTCCAGCAGTTTGGCAAAATAATTTCTACTTAATAACTTCCCACTTAGTTTAATTGCAGCATAATCAATGTACATACAGTGCCTTCAAGGTCGAATTTTATGAGCCTAGGTATAAGGGAGGTCTGATTGGCTCAACTTAAATTTAGGAATGCCTTAAACTGCACATAACAATTGTGTTTTTTTTTTGTAGTGTTTTAATACTCTGATTTAGACTTAGATTGAAGACTGAGAAAGCGGCATTTGTTACATCAAGCTTCTTTGCTTAAGCCTAAATTTTAAATGCTTTTCTGAGTAATTTACAACAAATATTGTCTTGCATTCTATTTACATCATTTTTCATGGTGCATTTTTGAATGCACAAACAAACTTCTAGTCTTATTATCTAAAGTCACTGATTTCTGTGAATACAGCTGGATGAGTTTTGACAAAGTAGTTGGCTACCGAAAGTACCGAATGGACTGTAATCTGACTGCAACAATGTATTTGTGAAAATCGCTGCTTTACTGGTGGTGGAAAATGTATGTTCAAGGCTGTTTTATGGAGGATTTTTAAGATGTTTCATCCTATATCATATTTGATTCTTTGAAACCAACTTAATTTGGCTATCAATCAAGTCAATTTATGTATTTTGGATGTAATTTAGGAAACCAGGCTTCTAACCAATTTAATAAACTCACCTGGTTTGTGATCTTCTATTTGGTTTGCCAAAGCAATGGTCAGTGTGAGCTTGGCTGTCAATATTTGGGGACACAAGTTTTTAAGGCAAAAGCAGTAAGTGGTATTATAGCTGCTATGAAGTAGTTGTATATATCACCTATAACAGGCGCATTGTGGTGAGCATTTATGTGCGCAGGGATTCATTACTGCTGTTATTTTAGGAGATTCTGAACAGAAAGTCCCTTTTTTCCTTATTGAGAAACACATGCATCTTTGACTGAAAAATATGGCACCAATTCTGTTCTAAACAAGAAGTCTTACCTCACCATTTCTTTCTTTTTAAAAAAAATTGAATACCTACTTCATATTTTTAACTTATCTTGTGTGTGTGGGTTCCATGTTGGATTGAGTGAGATTTTTGCTGAAGTGCCCACTCTAGGACTCTACCTTACTCAAGTAACTTCTAGCATCTATGCTTAAATGGCAGTCTTTCTCCACAGCCTTATCTCTCCGTCATGCATTTTAGTTAACCAATATGGAAAAGGGCAGTCGTTAATGAAACATTTGTTTGTGCAACAAATCTTCCATTCTTAGTTTACACCAATTTTAGTCTTACCGAATTATGTTAAAGCATTTTTCACCGTGAAGCTTGGTGTTGTAAGCGTGTACACAGCTGTTACCAGGCCCTGTCTTATTTGGTGGTTATTTGTCTCATGAGTTTTCATATGAGTGCAGAGATCTCTTTTGTCAGTTCTCCAGATTACTTTGTAAAATCTAATGTTGTTACATTGTGGAACCATCCATCGTGGTTAATTAAACTTCTTGGGATTTTTTCAATGTCATCTCACACACATACACATGGTGGTACTGCCTGTCCAAATAGGACATTCTGAAAATATTGCTGAATGCAGATTTATTCTGTCTCTTCAGTCCATCAATTTTGTACAGTCTAAACTTTATTTTATAAATGTGATATGAATGGGACTGATTATGCCAAAATGGCATTGTGCTTGTTTTGTCTAAGTATATTGATACTTAAAATTTATTATTATTATAAGCATGCTTTTTTACCGCTAATGACAATGTACAGTCAAGCATGAGTATGTATCTTTGAAATGTATGTATTTATGTAAAGATCAGTGCTGTTAAAGTTAATTTTTTTTGTTAACGAGTTAAAGTTAAGCCGTTAACCTAACCGAATTAACGTACTCGTTAAAGTTAAGGCTCTTCAGCATTAGTTAACGAGTTAACGTTAAATTAACGCATTAACGAAGTTAAAGTTAGTTTTACTTCTTGATGAAGCGAAGACGTTGTGTGATTTCTTGATTTTTGACAGATTTTCAGTCCTCAAGATGCCAAAAAATGACTAACTTTCGAAACCTTTCACAAAAATTCAGTTTGTTCATTTCTTTCACCCAAGACAAATTTCTACATATTGTATGACCCAAATGTCGGCAAAATATGCATACACAGATGAACAAAGTAAACGTTAACGGCGTTAAGAAGTTAACATTCCTACTTAACTTAACTCGTTAACGTTAAGACTTTCTGACTACTTTAACGAGTTAACGTTAATTCGTTAATTAACGTTAACGGCGTTAAATAACTTCGTTAATCGTTAAATTAACTTTAACAGCACTGGTAAAGATACGTCAAATTTGATGATTTTGGCATGTGATATTTATTATATTTTATTATTTAACCAAATGTTAAATGTGCATGTGTAAAATAAATCGTGCATAATGATAAGCAAAGAAAGTGGATCGAAGTTTGTATTTACCTTTCATTTCCACCATTAGCGTTTTCACAGAACGCTGACTTCCTCCTCCATTAGAGGCCTTTAGCCCTCTTGGGCATAAGGCATTACGGAATATATCCTTCACGGTGTTCACGTTCGAATTTTTCTAACTTCAACCGGAAACCGGATCTAGGATAGACACTCTTTCCTCTTTTCCTACAAGGCCACGAGGAGGAGGGGAGGGCGGGGGAGGGGGATTTCTTCCGAATTTCTCATATCCTTTCATAGGCTGCACTTTTAGAGCGTTTAGTTTGATCAGTCTGTCACGCCTCTCGCTATTCTGTTGTTAGAGAAGTTATGTCAGGCCTCAAGCCAACTTATTTGCCTTATTTGGTGTAACGCTCACATCTTTTCGAACTCCTTGTCAATATCTGTCGATTTTTCTCCCTCAGTAATCAGTTTGCGTGTGCCGAGGTTAGTCGATCAATGCTGCATTTGACTTGCTTGTGGATGTCCATGTTGTGGTTTTAACTGAAAACTTAAAGTTTGAAGACTTCTTTCTTTGTCTCTTGATTTGGTCTGTTCTGTGGTGGAGGGTTAGTCTCATGTCGAACAGCCATGTCCGTGGAAATGAGCACTAACGGTCTTATGGTGTTACTTGTTCTAGGCTCAATCATGGAAGATGTGTTGTTAGAATGTCAAGTCTGCTTCGAGCGGTATGACGCAGACAGTCGCCGCCCGAAAATTATACCATGTGGCCACACGTTTTGCTTATCATGCCTCTGTGCCAGCGACAACAAGTGTCCAAATTGTCGCATTGTAAGTACCTATATACATTACCTTCTCCTGACTTCAAATCCCCTTCCTATCTCCAGCTCTCAATTTGAATTTTCTTCGTGTTGCAGGCATTCCGAGGATCACCAATGAACTTGCCAGATAACTTTATTCTACTCTCAGCAACGGACAATGCTCCTCCTCCAAAGAAAAAGGCGTAAGTAGTAATTTAGTCTTTGCATTTACAGAAGCAACTTTTTTGCCAAGGTGGAAATAGTTATACTTTTCTTTACATTTCAATTGTGTTATTGCTTTCTAGGTTTTGGTGTTTGGATTGCAAGAAAGGTGCCGATGCAGAGTGTGAGGACAGTCATACCATTTGCAGCATGAAGAAAATAATCAGTGAACAAATTGGTGATTTGTGTGAAGAAGTTCAGGGTCAGCTTGAAAAAGAAGAGACTATTCTAAACCAACTTGTTGTCAAGCTTGCCCCAATCAAACCTGTGATGAAAAATCTGAGCTCCACCACTGATCGGGAAGTAACAGCTCACAGCTTCGCCAAGGATGAAATTGTGAAAATTATTCAGAGCATTCCAGAAATTGAGAACTCCCCAAAAGATGATTCTCTTGAGTCGATGAAATCATTCTTATCAAGTTCAAAGCTTCGCTTACCAACTCTTGAAAAGAAGGGATCTCTTCTTGACCTATTAGCAGATTGTGAAGTAATTGTCAAGCCATCAAGTTCTGCTGATTCTTGGTCAATTAAGCTAAACATGTCATCTGAGGACCTGTCAGATGAACACAAGGCTCTGTATTATACTCTTTTCAAAATCATTGGACGCCAAGACTTTGATTTGCCAGAGACTGTTGGTGTCCCAAGTGCTGCTGGTGGTGATGTTGCAGCATCAGTCCCTACTAGCATTTCCCCTTCCCCAAATGGCACTTGTCTGGTTCAGGTGTGTCAAAAGTCCCGTATGTTAGGACAAATTGCAATTAGTGTACTCGAATCAATTCCATCGCAGAAGAAGGACCTCTTAATCAAAGGCCTCAATGGTGTCAAGCTCTATCCAAAAGTTGTTGGAGCTCTGACTGGTAGTTTAAGAACTGATATTTTCTTTCAGAGCAACAATGTGAAACTTGCCAAGGGATCTGTTGGTATAGCAAGATCCCCACTGCAACCACTATCCATTTATGTGAAGAAACCTACTAACACTGTCCCTAAAACAGGCATGTTTGTGTGGGGTAAAGTTGTTGAAAATTTGGAATTGTTGGAATCCATTTTGAATAACTGGGCCACTGAAAAAGAGATTGTTGTTCTCAGCTGTCCTCGATGGGCATGATTACAACATTGCTCTGCTTTTTCTTTCTGGTATCAACTATTGATCAGAATTAATTATTTTATAGGTCCTTAAAAGTATCAATTTTATCTTAAGTGTTACATTATTCCTTTTTGTACTGTCAATCGTAATCATTGTTGCTTTGCAAGTCTATGTGATACCCTTTCTTGAAGTTGCTAAGTTTGTACATTTGCATATGTTACGAAGGTTATCAATTTCATTTCTCTCTTTCTTTTTATTACAGAGTAGAACCAGTTGTTAAAGAAAGTTACCCGGTTAAAGGGAAGTCATTGTATCTATTTTTATGCAAGTGTCTTAAGTCATCGATTGTTGCCTTGGAAGCGCATTTGAATTCTCTATACTGTAGTTATCTGTTTAAAGGGAAGTCAATGAATCTATTTTTATGCAAGTGTCACAAGTCATCATTTGTTGCTTTGCAAGCGTTCTTGAATTCTCTGTGCATAGGTGGGCCTATGTTATTGCGCTTGAAACTTTTTATGCATGCCAAGTTGATAATCAATTCTTGCTTTGTAAATGGGACACCCATTCTTAAAACTTCTTTTCTTAGATGATGGCTTTGTTATTATTCTTGGAGGTTTGTATTTTCTTCATGAACAATAAATTTCCTATTACAATGTGCGTGTTTTTTAAATCCATTTTAATGAAATATCCAATCTGAAACATACTGTCTGAATCCCGCATGATTCGACAAACACTGACATGAACATGTGGAGGCACTCGGTGCTTTGGGAGTGTGAAGTCTCCAAGTGTAGGTCTCTAAAAGAGCGTACTTCCAGAACTGTGATGAAGTAGGGCATTGGATCAGTGGTTGGCTTCCCCAGCATAAGAGGATTCCATCCATTTGCGCCGAGTTACTAAACGTCCTATCTGTGTCAAAAGAGTCCGACTGCTCCATTGAGGCCCCTACCTCTGCCCTATTATACCCCATCATACCCATCGGTCACAGCGCCCAAACCATTCAATGTAGAGGAGTAAAGTAAGCGAGCTATTCAAGCAACAATCGCCTCGCGGGGCCCAGCCGGAGCGGTCGGATTCTTTCGGCACGGTTAGCACTTCCAGTGAGCTGGCTGGAGCATACCTGTCGCACTTCTCGCTCTGTCTCTCTCGCACTCACGGAGTGTGCGGAAGGTGCGATAGAGACGGAGCGAGGAGTGCAGGTGGCGGACTAGGCCTCCCTTCCTTGGTTATTCGCTGAGGGCGCGCTTGCCCCTGCCACCCCTCCCCCTGCTGCGCGACGCGGCCATCTCCATCATCTCCATCATCATGGTGCCGTTGTTGTTGGCGTGCCTGCACGGCACCTGCTCCTGCTCCAGCCCCTCCGCCCCGGCGACGAGTGCCTGCGCCGCCTGCGGTGCGGACCGCGCGGCCACCAGGCGCGCCTCGCCGTCGTCGTCCTCGTCGTCGTCCTTGCTGGATGGCCTTGCGCAGCACCGACACCAACATGTGCCCCACCTTCCTGCCCGTCTCCTCCAGCTGGTCCCGCACCCGAGTGTCCCCTTGGTCCTGGTTGACCCCTTGGGTGTCCCCCGCGCCGCCGGCCGCGCGCTGCACGCCGGCGTCGGTGACGGCCTGCAGCAGCCTGCCGCCCAGGTCGGCGAGCACCTGCCCTACCTGCTGGCCCGCCGGCTGGCCGCTGCCGCCGGCCGCTGGCCCCGCGGAGCGCTGGCCGCCGTCCGCGCCGCCACCGAGGTGGTCGCTGATGGCCTGGCGCACCGCGTCCCCCGCAGAGCCCAGAACCTTGCCCAGTGTGTCCGCCGCGTCCTGCACCCTCTCCTGCTGCAACAGTAGGACCGAGACTCGGTCACCGACCCGGCCTTTCAAGCACGCTGCAAGCACGCTGCGAGGGAAGCTGTTCCTGCAGAGACCTCTTCACGCTCTTCTTGCCCTTTATTTTCATCCATGCCTCCAAACAGGGGAAATACAAATTTCGCGAAATGTCGTGAATGCCGCCACGAGGGGCGAGGGCGCCTGCGGAAAGAAGGGTAGGCCTCCCGCTCCGCGCGCGTTCGTGCGGATTGCCTACCCTTGGCCGTGCGGGCGCTCGGCCCGTCCCGTCGTCTCTGCCAAGTCCGCGTCACGGACTCCGGAGGCGGAAGGGGAGTGCTGCGCCCTGCGCCGCCGACCTGGCCAAGCCACGCCAAGCCACGCCAAGCCACGCCAGCCGGCAGGGGCGGCTCCGGGGTTGCATTTCGGAGGGGTCCACGACACACCTGGCGGAGTGTCATGTACGTCGCCTGCCTTCAGGGCGGAGCCAGATCTGACGCAGGGGAGGGGGCCGTGGCCGCCACTACACTGCCAGCAAGCTGCCTGGCCAATGCCTCACACCCGCACCGCCACCGAGCCCGTCCCTGGGCGCCGCCACCAGAAAACACCGAATACGCGGAAACAGGTTCGCGCGCCAGCTCGAGCTCTACGAGTCGCTCGCGTCCTCCTCGGCGGCCTGCTGCGCCATGCTAACTATGCCGGTCGGCAGGGCCTCGGCCACGTTGGGCACCGGCACCTGAATGCCCAGCGAGCCCAGGAAGTCGGCCATCCGCTGCATCTGGAACACGCCACTGTGTGTCGGGAAGCGACTGGAACACGTCCACCCGGTCTGGACGCAGTGCAACGCAGTGCAACGCAGTGCCTGCTGCTGGCCTCTTTTCCGCCACGGTTGCCACTTGAGTGGGCAAAAATGCCCTCTACTGCGCCACTGTCGGAAGGGTTGCTGACCTCAGCCTGCCAACTACGCAGCTTCTCGAGGGCGAAGCAGCCCAGATATTGCCAGGTGGGCAGAGGCTGGCAACCTTTCCGGTAATGGCGCATCACCCAAGGAGAACAGGTAGTCAAAATCACGTCAGATAGACAAAAATTTGACAAAAATCGGTCATCTTGGGGTTATTTTGAGTAGGTTTTTTCCGTTCTCCCTGGGCGTGACACAGTGGGCTAGAAGACCGGTGGAGGCGGCCAAAACTCTGGACGCGTTTGGAGCTCCAAAGTCGCTAAACAGGACTCGAACCGAGCGTGTGACCCCGCCAATGGATATTGGTGTGGTCTGAGGTGGGGTCAAACGTTCGGTTCGAGCCCCATCTAGCGACTCTGGAGCTCAAAACGCCTCTGGGATTTTTGTCCGCCTCCACCGCACAGTGGGCCAGAAGACCGATAGAGGCGGCCAAAACTCTAGACGCGTTTTGAGCTCCAGAGTCGCTAAATGGGACTCGAACGGACCGTGTGACCCCACCAATGGATTGCTCTTTAAACGAGGAATCCATTGGTGGGGTCACACGTTCGGTTCGAGTCCCATTTAAGGACTCTGGAGCTCAAAACGCGTCTAGAGTTTTGGCCGCCTCCACCGCTCTTCTGGCCCACTGTGCACCGGTCTTCTGGCAAATCCGCTGTGCGAGGGCAATGTTTGCCTGCTCGTGCGGCGGCCGCGCCGCGCGCCCCTCCACGCCCCTCACCTTCTGCGCCACGTGCTCCTGGAAGGCCTCCGTCACGTGGCCCAGGATGTCCGCGCCGGGGGCCTGCCGCGCCACCTGTGCCATTGTCACTCGATTATTTGGTGCACGGCAGCGGATGCATCGCTGTGCTTGGCCTGGCTTGGCACACCGCACGCGCTGTCTCTCTCGCACCTACGCCGCACGCCTCATGAGCGCGAGAGAGACAGAGCGACGAAAGCGACTCTCGGCACGAGTGTGCCGTGCATGTCCAGCCGCCATGCAGCCTCTCGGCCTTTCAACGAGTAATTACGTCCCGTACCCGCTGCCGCTGCTGCCGCTGCTGATGGGAGCGCGCGGCCGGAGCGCGGTTCGAGTCTGCAACACAAAACGCACGACACTCCGATGTGCAAAAGGGGGCGGGGGAAGAGAATGGGTTAATGTGAAAAATGTGAAAATCTAGAGCTTCGTCTCGGGCCGTTTCTCTCACCAGACGCGTCGGGGGCGGGCGCGCAGATGATGGCCTGGACGGCGTGCCGCGAGGAACGAGGAAAGACAAGGAAAACTCGTTAGTGAGAACTTTCAAAACTCAAGTGTGTTCTGAGTACACACTTTGAGTACGAAAGTGGGTACTGAGGCCACACTCACGTGTGTCTTCGGCGTGGCTTGCAGTGCAGGCCACACCCAGTCAAGTTGGCTAACGGCAGCCGTGCGATTCCAGAGAGTTGTCTCGTCACTCTTTCTGCCTCAACCCCTGCCGTGGGGCCATGGGTGCGACCGAAACAGAGCGACGAAACAACTCTTGGGAATCAGCCTGCTGCAGACCGATTCCGAGGGTCGTTTTCGTCGCTCTGTCTCTCTCGCACTCATGGAGCGTTCCCTGCAGGTGCGAGAGAGACAGAGCGACGAAAACGACTCTCGGACTCAGACTGCTTCTCGAGGCACTCGCGAGCCAATAGCAAAGAGCTAACCGAGACGACGACGGCCAGCAGGAGCAGGAGGGTCTTCATGGCGGCAATGGCGAAGTGCGGCTTGCTGCAGCTCGTGTTCGGCTGTCCGGCAGTCCGGTTGTCGGCGCGGCGCAAAATGCCGAAATGCCGGCCTAGGTGGCGTAGTTCGGGCCGACGGTGGCGTGCAGCGGCAGCCGAGGCGGAGGCCGGCCCCGGATGTTCGCGGACCCCGGCAGCACACTGATTCCGAGAGTGTTCTCGTCGCTCTGTCTCTCTCGCACTCACGGGGCGTCCCGCATGGGTGCGAGAGAGACAGAGCGACGCAAACGACCGTCGGAATCAGTCTGCAGAGCCGCACGCGACGCGCGAATACCTCGCTCGGCCCTTATCGCACTTTTTGTATAACGGCTGTTTCACTCGTTCAATTTTTTTATTCTGTCGGATTTGGTATTGTGTGTCCCTTTTTTTCAATCGGAGGTTTTTGTTGTCGTCGAAGTCACTGACCCCAGAGACACTCATCCCTGTTGTCGTCCACAAAGGGCGGTATTGTCCGTAATCACTGGCTCGAGAGACGAGCCGACGGAACGGACGCCGTGTCCTGGTCCAGGTCCACATCGGCGTGGATGCGGACACACTGAAAGCCGCTGGGCCGGTAGTGGCTTATCTAGTTAGGCGTATACACTGTCAAGCCGAGTGTGGACAACTCCACACTTCGTGGTGGAGAGTAACAATATTCCACACTTCCTGGCGCGGAGTAAATCCTCCATTCTTCAAGTGTGGAGTCACTCATAGAGCACCCACCTCTTGGCATGGCGCAAACGTGGAAAACTACGCGCAAGTGCAAGTAATTTTTCGTTTGAGAATCGTACAAAACTTTCATCTGCACCAGAAACTCTGTCTGGCGTTTCACTCAAAATTGTACGTAACAGCTTGTGTGTTCGATCGCGTTGCTTCGATCGCGGGGCCGAGCCGACGAACTCGCCAATCGTTACGCTCTGTGTTCCTGCGAAACGTAATTGCGAAAGTGCGCGTTGTTGACTGGTGGTGGCGTTGATGTGGTGAGGTACGGTTCCGAAAAACATCACTTATAAACGACACTTTAATTTACAATTTTAAATAAAAACAGGCTTTCACTTATGAATAGAGGAAGGCCGAGGGGAAGGCCACGAGGTTCACAGTCAGATCGTCTTCAACATCAGACACTATTCACTTTGTCACGGGAGAGGGTCACTACGTCGCACCTTATGTGCGATGCGTCCCGAATGCACGACGGGGAGGCATTGCTGACGCTGCACTCGAAGCCTGTTCAGTGCGAGGCCAGCAGCAGGGGGCTGTCGGTGGCGTTGGCCTTGCCGCCCGGCAGGTCCTCGTCGGACAGCCTCAGTTGGAACAGCACGATCAGGTAGGTGGTGATGGCCGCCATGATCTGCGAGCGAGAGAGAGCCTCCTGGCTTCACACTGATTGCGAGAGTCGCGCTCGTCGCTCTGCCTCTCTCGCACCTATACGGGACGGGCCATGAGTGCGACAGAGACAGAGTGGCGAACTCTGTGCGGAGTAGAGAATCAGTGGCAGGGAATGCTGACCGAGCCGCTACCCGTGCACAGTGGGCCAGAGCACCGGTGAAGGGGGCCAAAACTCTAAACACGTTTTGAGCTGCCGAGTCGCTGAACGTGACTCGAACCCAACGTGTGACCCCACCAATGGATTCCTCGATCGGAGAGCAATACATTGGTGGGGTCACACGTTGGGTTCGAGTCCCATTTGGCTACTCTGGAGCTCAAAACGCGTCTGGAGTTTCGGCCGCCTCCACTGGTCTTCTGTCGAATCCACTGTGCCGCGGTACCTACACTGAGGTACGTGGAGCGGCGGATGAGCACCGCGCCGGCGAGCGACACCTCAGCGGGGCTGCACGAGATGGTGTGGAGGAACTGCTGGTGCTGCAAGGCGTAAAGCAGGCAAGGCCAAGCCGGGTTACTCCACACACTCTGCAAGTTCATCACACCGATGCCAAGCCAAAAAGCCAACACAAGGACGCGAGTCCCCCCCCCCCTGTTGAACTTTAACTTTTGTTTGCCCAACCCAAAGCTCTCTAGACCCCTACTAGACCCCATTTTCAAGTACTTCGGCAAGGAGGCCGTTGGAGAGTCCGCGCCAGCTTCGGGCCTCGAGGGGTTCGTAGAACCGGGAAGTCATCTGCAAGAGGGAAACAAAAACACAAAAAATACGGGGAAGCATCATTGAATGATGAAAGGTTTTTGCTCTCTGGTCGTGGCAAACGGAACTCGCTAGCCGACTGATTCCGAAGGTCGACGAAGGGAGACTTCGGGCCAGTCGGAGGTACGGAGGCCTTTGGTTGGTCGAGGCGTCCTTCTAGTGGACGGAGAACTCCCTTCAACGATCTTCGGAATCATTGGGAAGACTCGGAGACCGAGTCGGAGACTCACGACGTCGGCGAGGCCGTGCGCGCCGTCGCAGAGGATGATGAGGGAGCTCTGGCAGAGCGTGAGCAGGGTGAGGCTGGAGGCGAACAGGATGGCGTAGTCGTTGGCGTAGGACACGACGGTCTGGTAGCCGGACAGCGTGATCATGACGAGCAGGTAGCCCAGCATGGCCAGCCCCGTGACGGGCATGGCGCCCAGGTCGCCGACCAGGTGCCGCAGGCTGAGCCACGCCAGGCGGAACTCCTCCAGACGCGACGCCGTCATCCGCCCCGAGGACAGCTCCTGCAGGGCACGCAGTGTTGCGGTGTAGTGGTGGAGACAGAAAAGGCGTTTTGAGCTCCAGAGTCGCTAAAGGGGTCTCGAACCGAACGTGTGACCCCACCAATGGATTGCTCTCCGAACGAGGAATCCATTGGTGGGGTCACACGCTCGGTTCGAGTCCTGATTAGCGACTCTGCCGCTCAAAACACGTCCGGGATTTTGACCGCCTCTACCGGTCTTCTGGCCCACTGTGCACCGTACTCGAGTCAGCTTGCCCGCCAGGCAGGACGCCAGGTCGTGCAGGATCATGCAGCACACGACGAACGAGCAGAAGGAGTTGGTGACGAAGACGATCTGGAAGAGGTGCGACAGGATGTGCTTGTAGCGCGTCTCGCTCTTCAGGATGACCATGCACCACACGCCGACCATGGTGGGCGCCACGGCGAAGGAGAACACCACCGTGGCCCAGGGCAGCGCGCGGGTCACGGCGCGCAGTCGGAAGTCCGTCACCATGTGGCCGTGCCGCTCCTGGGGGAGGGAGGGGCCGAGTTTGTAGGGGTGAGGGCGCCACTGTCGCACTTTGCCTTCGAAGGAAGGCAACCCCCTCCCCTCCTGAACCCGCCTCTGGATTCGGCCCCTCACCATGAACTCGTGGACGTGCGCGTTGCAGGCCCGCAGCTTGGGCGCCTCGGCCCAGACGAGGACCAGGATGAAGTGCGAGGACACGTGCAGCACGGACTGCGCCGCCAGCAGCCGCTCGTCCACGCCGGCGGCGGTCTCGGCCTCGGAGCGGAGCAGGTCGCGGTACGTGGCGTACACGGAGTGCGCCGACAGGGCCACCAGCACCTGCATGGCCAACACGTAGAGCAGCGTGGAGCGCCACGGGTGCGCCGACACCGTCACTACGAACAAGTTGCCGAACCAGGCTTCGTCACTTCGTCACTAGGTTGGGGAAGAAAAGTACAGGGTAAGAAATGTAGACCTTCTTTGCGGCCCCACTGCACAGACCACGACGTCCATTTAGGACTCCACATTCAGATTTTCGAGTTAAGTTGAAATGACTGGTGGAGGTATGGTTCAAAGTCAAGGTACCAGCTCTAGGTGGCACTTTTCTTACCCAGCACTTTTCTTCCCCAACCTAGCAGCGCGCCGCGAGTGCGAGAGAAGAGAGACAAAACCGACGGTGGACAGGAAAGGCTTCAAAGTGCGCTTCGATTCTACCAGTGTGCTCCATGACTCACACGGCCGGGCCAGCCGCACGGGCACGATGCCGTAGATGGCGTAGATGAGCCCGAAGGGCAACAGGATCCTCCAGATGGCGGCGAAGACGACCTTCTTGGCCTTCTCGGCCTCGGCCCTGGCGGCCGTGCCGCCCTTCTGCGCCAGGAAGCCGTTGCTCGCCTTGGCCGCCATCCCGATCGGCTCTATCACGGCGCGGAAGTGGTGGCGGTGCTCGCGGTCGTCGTGGCCGTCGTGGCCGTCCGGGAGGTCCTCGACGGGCTCCCCGAACGTCGCGAGGGCGTCCACGTCCACCCCCAGCACTGCGGGGACGGGGCTGTGGCCTCGCCCGGGACCGAGCCTCGGGCTGCAGCGGCTGCTCGGACTCGGCGGCCTGCTGGTGAGACCGCCGCCCTGGTTGCGCAGGTCGACGTCGCCCCTGTCGGCCGGGTTGGCAGGGTGGAAGGGCGCGGCCTGCACGATGAACACCGCGGGCAGGGCGCCCTGGCCGGTCGCGCCCTGCATGGCCTGCCGCGAGTGGTGCGGTCTCCGGACCTCCGCGCGGCCTCCGAGTTGGTGGCGCACTGGGGATGACAGAACGGCTGCGTGTTATCGCCGGTGACCTATTGAGCACCTGCCAGTGTGTCCGGCCATCGTCGCACCCTGGGGACCACGCCGACCACCTACCGCGCCGGCCCGGCCCGACACCACCCCCTCCACGGCGGGGGACCTCGTCTGCAGACTGATTCCGAGAGTCGTTTTTGTCGCCGTGTCTCTCTCACACCTGTATGGGCCGTCCTATGAGTGCGAGAGAGACAGAGCGACGAAAACGACCCTCGGAATCAGTCTGCTGGGCGTGCGGGTGCGGGGCGAGCGAATTGGACTCCGAAACCGGCCAATTATAGCGGTGTCGCCGCTATCGCGCCACTTCGACGTGCGGTGACCTGGCCGCGTCGCCGCGTCGCCGCGTTTGCAGTTCGCACGGCCTCGCCTTGGACACGGCCTCGCCTTGGAGACCTCTTCGCAATCGCGACTTGCCCTGGTGGCTCCCTTGACGTAAATGACAAATGACGGCATGGCAAACACCATCGACCGGTGTTTTTAATCTTCGGACGCTTGGAGGGTTCGGCCGGCCACTGGCCGCCAGGCCGGCCACGTCGCGGCCGCGACCCGGGACGCGCCTCACCGCGTGCACCGAGGCGTGCACTGCGTGCCGCGTTGTGCCGCCCTGTGCCGCGCCAAGGGCTGTAAACGGTTTATTGCTGCGGAGCAGTCTCATTGCGCGATGACGTGTCATGCACTGGACACTGCAAAAAGTGGACAACTCGATCCACACCAGCGGCGCTGCAGACTGACTCCGAGAGTCGTTTTCGTCTCTCTGGCTCCACTGCACGTCGACACTCGATGGGCCTCCCGCGGCGCTGCAGACGAGACAGAGAGTCGGTATCGCTTCTGCTGATGGCGCCATTAGTCGCAGCTCAGTGGGCGCATCCAGTATCGCGCTACGTCATGAAGAGCCTCGGACAGCTCGGAGGGCTGGTTCCCTCTCAGGACGTCGCCCCGCGGTGCGAGAGAGACAGAGCGACGAAAGTCCTATTCGGAGCCAGTCGGCCTGGCCTGGCGCAGCGCACTCCGACGAGCGCCTCCGACGACGCAGTATACGCAGTTCGCAGTCACGCGAGCCGCGCCATGAGCCGCGCCCGCGCCGCGGGTCGTACGTCAATTTATAATCCGTCCAATTGCAGCATTCACAACGCGGCGCGGCACACAAACACTCAGACAAGAATCGGGGGCTGTGTGGGAATCTAAATAACCAAGTGGTGCTCGGCTCGAAAAGCCCTGGACTGCTTGTGGTTCGGTGGGAGGGGGAGGGGGAGGGGGATGGTAGGGGAGGGGAGGGGAGAAGGAGGAGGAAGCGTCGATGTTTGAATGACACTCGCCACAGGTGCGCGGGCGTGTACCGCACATGTGCGTGCACGGTGTCGTGTCGTCGTGTCATTGACTCGTGAGCGTGCCTGTCAGGATGTCACCTCTGTGTGTCGAGCAAGAGCGGCGCGTCAAACTTACGCGCCCACCCGGAAGTGGACCGACACGCATGTGTGTGTCATGTGTGTGGTATGAGAAATTCGTGTGTGCAGTTACGGCCTTCTCGAACTGTCATTTGCCACCTTATGTTTTGTTTTTGTTTGTTATTATTACTTTACTACTTTTGTTGTCGTTGATGTGTGGAGGATTTTCAAGGCAGCCAAGTTTTGATGACACGGATTGACAATGTATCATTAGTCTGTGGAGTCTATAAAGTGGGCTCTCATACATTGGACACTTTTGTCGCAGTTTCATCCGAGCAGAGCGCACTTTGAACCCCACTCGGCTCAGCGAACTGGATTATTCCTGGAATAAGTCCTACATCCATCCAGGTTAGTACTTGCTTTTGTTGTCTCATTCATTTCAATACTCTCATACTCCAAGTGATCTTATTTTACCCCACATAAATTATCTTAAAATATTAATCATTCATGTCTCATTTGCCGCATTCTGTTTTATTTTTTACAGGAACCATGCCCTGTCCAAACTTCATGTGTGGTTCGACTAGTCAGCCCGAAAGGCAATCAGTGGGAACGCAGTACTCATTCAATCCTGTGAAGACTGAGAACCACATGTCTCACATGCCATCGGGGACTGAACTTCTTCAGCAACTGCATCACGATGCGGCCAAGCAGCTGCAGCTTGTACTTCTGCCACCACATCAACAAGCTCAACTTTTGCAACATCAAGCTAATAGCATGCATAATGCTCGAATGGATTCCAGGATGGACAATGCAAAAGTTGGGTGTAAAATCGAGGCTGATACATCGTCAAGAGAGGCCACTTCTCCAAGCACCTCACAGACTCAGCCCACCACCCTACGCCCGATTGTGACAAGTGTAGATATAGCCAATGAACGAATTTGTCAAGAGTGTGGCAAAGTCTTTTCCCGACCCAGTGATTTGAAGCGACACGTTCGCTCGCACACAGGTGAAAAGCCATTTACCTGCGAGGTGTGCGGTGGTGGATTTGCATCGCCTCGCAACTTGAAGGCCCACTACAGAACTCACACAGGGGAGAAGCCCTATGAATGCTTTGAATGTAAAGCAGTGTATGCAAGAGCGGACTCACTGCGTTATCACATCATGTCACATTCTGGGGAGAAACCATTTAAATGCATGGAATGTGGGAGAGCATTTGCAAAGGGCAGCGATCTCAATCGGCATTTAAAGTGCCATTCCTCTGAAAAGCCTTTTGCATGTGTACAGTGTGGTGAGAGGTTTGCACACATGAGCTACCTCAAAGGTCACATGAATACCCATACAGGTGAGAAGCATTTTAAGTGTACCGAGTGTCAATCTAGCTTTTCTCGTGCTGATGTTTTAAAAAGGCACTTTCGAACTCATACCGGTGAAAAACCTTATACTTGTAGAGACTGTGGTAAATCCTTCACATGGAGCAGTGCTTTGAAGGTACACATAAGAACACACGCACAGTAACTGTGTCAGTTATGCTGCGGTTTTCCTATTCTTTTATAATCTATTCCTAGCAATTTAGTTACTTTTCGTTTGGTAATTTTTCATCTAAAAGTTTCATTTCTATTTGCCATACATTTTATAGTATTGAAATGGAATTTATGTAGATGCTATTTGAGCTCTGGTGTACATTGTGCCATGACAATTATTTATCTATTGATTGTTCTTAAACATTTTTTAAAAAGTCAAAAATTACTTTTCTCAGGTGCAGAATCAAGAAAGAAAGAAGGGGGACCTTCTGAGGTCATGGTGCACGCTCTTGTCCCAGAGGTGGTATGTAGGTCTGATGATTTGCAGCCATAGGTTTACTTTGTAGTTCTTATGTTTTGACTGATATTTTCATCCTTTATTTCATGGCACGTTTCTGTATGTTTATTTTGCTATACCAAACTTGCTTGTAATCTTGCTGTTCTGAAGATGTCAGGATAGCATTGAAACAATGCACATCCATTGACTTGCACCAAGTTTGAAATATAATTTGCCTTGTTTGTGCAAGAAATTTTTTTGGAGACCTTCATTCCATACTTGATCCTAAGTATTGTTGAATGTGGTTGAATAAGCCAATCAACTTGTGAATTTAAGAAAATTTTGTTATGATATTTATGTTATGTTCGTTTATTGGGTATGTTGTTTTATTTCATTTGGTGGCTCAGAAATTGTTTAGGCATGAGGAGTTTTTAGTTTTATTTACATATCATATATGTACTTCAGACTCTACTATGCTACATATTTCTCATTTATCATGTCTAAAGATCTTTCATCCTAAAGATTGCTTTGCCGTAACTGAATGTGTTTAAGTTCTACGGCTAAATTAATATTAAGCCTCTTCCAAGTGTTTTCTGTAAGTCTAGTTAATGCAACTAGAAACTAAATATAAATTTGAAGATAAGTCCTCATGGAAATGTACTGTACCATAAAAAAAATAGCTCCTTGCTGAATGATGTATTTTCAAGAGCATAGTGTGATAATTGTACGGATTTTACAGTTGAATTGTCCTGTTCAAAAAGAAGGCATTTGAGCCTTTATTATTTGTTATACTGCTTTGGCCTGTTTCTGTTGTACTATATGGCACTTTAAATATTTGTTTTTCATATTTGTTGTGGTTATGTAATTCCTTAATTTAAGACTGCATCATGTCATCTGTAAAATCTGTTAACATGTGCCTTATCTCATTTATTGCATGTCATAATTAAAGTATTAACATTATGTGCCTCACCATATTGTACAGAATCTGTCTTGCACAAACCCCCTGTGAAGAGTTAGTCATCAGTCTGATTTTTGCCTGAATAAATCTGTTATTTCCTTTTTATTTCTCCCATCCTTTTAACTCTGGTAGTGTGTGATGGTAATCAAATGGTAACATAAAAGTAATAGAATAACATTGATTTTTTAATGGAAATTCTAGGACAATACAAATTGTACATAGTTAGTGATACACCGTGTTAGTTGTTTTCTAATTAAAGTTATTACGTCTTGTTGACTAAACAACTCTTTGGCTTGCTGGAATGCTTTGGAATGCTAGAGAAAAAAAATCTAATTATTCACTTGGAATATAAGTCAATCACAGTGACATCTCCTTTTCGAGTTCTAAGAATTTCTGATTCATGTGTCTGAGCTGCTGCTGCTGATGAAATAATGAAATCCATAGCTAAATTCGTTCAAGCCCAAGCAGAAATAGACTTACTCAAAATTAACAAGTTCTATGTCGGGTGTTTTTGAGAACTCTGCAAAAAAATAATACCGGCTGAGGCAGCTGATTTACAGTACAGGGGCGCCGACGCGTTCGAGTTCGGGAGGGGGGGGGGCAACAAAGTTCAGTACAGGCCCTTCTAACTCAAGTGTCTAGAGGGATCAAACATTCGTCTTTACCTCTACGATGCAAAAGAGTTCCCGCCCTCGGCTCCCCACCCCACACTTGTGGCCACCGGTCACGGATGCACACGAGGGATGCACACCCTAAAAAGACGGGCCACAGTAACGAAGTCCCCGAACCACCCTTCTGGTTCGACAAATGGCCGAGAAAAAAAATATAACAGGCGTATGTGAGGTAAGTTGAGGCTCGATCGCTCAACAAAACAACTTTGGCTTTTCGTCTTCGAGATACTCGTCGTACTGTACAGGGTTGGGGTTGCTGCGTGCGGTACGCTTGCAACACCTCCCACAGAACCCGAAACACTCACGAAGAAATGACGCGTTAATCTGTCGAAATTTTGACTTAAAGTAGTCATATTGACGTCACGGTGAGCGTGTCGTGTTCTTGGGCTGCGGCGTGCGCGACTGCGGCTTCACGATGCAAATGGTCCCGACGTCGGTCTTGGCACGTTGTCCGCGAACTGGCCGATGTAGTTGCCGCGGGGGTGGTAGTTGGCCACGATGATGGTGCGCCCGTTCTTGCTCCGCGCGAAGCCCATGCCCAGCTCCTTGCTCTCCTTCCAGATCATCTGGGAGAAGTGGCCTGGCCGGGACAACAGAAACAACAACAACCTGGTCAGTCGAAACGTGCACAAAGACGGAGGGGCGGAAATCACGGGGAGACAAACGAGGGGTGAAAGCTGCGTTTTGCTGCACCCAAGAACACGGAAACACTCCATAATCAGTGAAAGGAAGTGAAAGTGGCGTCCCGAATCAGCCATGAAGTACTCTAAGCTGTCATGATTTATTCATCGGGGGCAGTTGGTTCGAGTTCCATGAAGTACACTCTGGAACACTATAATGCTTCTCGCCTCGGAGGGCCAAGGCTAGGCAGTTCCAGTGTCCCAACGGCCAACTCACCTGACTTGAGCAGGCGGGGCTCCTGGCCGAAGGGGTGCTCCTTGATCTCCTTGTACCACGTGTCGCAGGCCTCCTTGGCGCCCACCCTGGACGAGGAGCCGGGCGCCCCGGTGCCGCTGTCGGGCGACCAGGCGCAGAAGATGTTCTCGCCGTAGCGGCCGTCGGGGCGGTGCGCGAACCGGTCCTCCCTGGCCAGGGTGCGCGCCCAGTCGCGCGCGTACTCGCAGAGGCGCGGGCTGAGCCGCAGCGCCGCCACGCCGTGCTGCCGCCGGTACTCGTTGTGCAGGCGCAGGCCCTCCTGCGCCAGGTCCTCGGTGCCGCCCGCCTCCACGCCCTCGCGCACCGGGGACAGCGCGGCGCCCGGCGTCGGCGGGAAGCCGCTGGAACGGAAAGGCCGGGGGAACAGTCAGCACCGCCTGGAGACCACGTGACACAGCGACATCCTACCAGTTTCAGTTTTACCCTCGCCTCGGCCGAGCGCCTGCCAGGTCGAGAGTAGGCCTGCCCGCCGAACGCGCGCGCTGTGCGTGTCTGCCTACCCTCGACTTCGCAGGCGCCCGGCCGAGGAGGCAACCACTGCTTCTTACGTTGCATTCTTTCTCCACGTAAGATTCATCAAAAGAACATGCCATTCTGCACGAATGAACTATCACTCGCAAAAGAAATGAGTCGTAGATACCCCATGCGCAAGAGATCGCCCGTTTGTCCAGCATTGAAAAGTCACTTGGCCGCAGTGTGTCGCCAGGCTCCATCCCTTTTGCGAGTGGCGGCACCCAGGACCTCGCGAGCCGACTGGCGGACTCACCCCACTGGTGGCACGTTCTCCGCGAAGCAGCCCACGAAGTTGCCGGGCGGCGAGTAGTTGGCCACGACGAACACCTGCCCCGTCCGGCTGCGCGCCACAGCCACGCCAAGCTCGCGCGAGTCCTTCCACACGACCTGCGTGAAGTGGCCCGTCTTGAGGGAGGTGGGCTCCTTGCCGAACTTGTGGTCCTTGATCTCGTTGTACCAGTGGTGCACCGGCTCGTCGCCCGCCACCGTGTGCGCCGCGTTGGAGGACCACGAGCAGAAGATGTTCTCGCCGTAGTCCGACTCGTTGCGGTGCTCGATGACGCCCCTGGCGGCCAGCCGCTTGGCCCAGTCCTCGCTGTACCTACTCAGCTGCGTAAAGCACCGAAACGTAAATCAGTACACTGGTAAAGCTAAAGCGTAGCCCCACGCTTCATTCGTTCATTCATTTAACCTTAACCTACGTACCTTTTTGCTGAGTTTGAGTGGGTGCACGCCGTGCCGCGCCCGGTACTCGTTGTGCACGCGCAGGCACTCCTGGGCGAAGTCCTCGCCGAAGCAGGACTCGCCGTCCGAGAGGCTCCGCGATTTCGACTTGCACAGCCGCTGCTGCAGAGCGACGAAGCAAAGTTAGTGGTCCGCAAGGACGCCGAGGCCGGCGGTCAGAGAAACCGTGCTGTGCTGCAGAGCTGCTGTCTCTCTCGCACCCTTATGGAGAGCTCCACGAGTGCGACAGAGATGGACTTACCGTGCCGGCGCTGCTGGTGGAGGCCCTGCTCACGTGGCTTGCCCTGCTGCCCGGCCGGTCTGGCGAGCTGCTGGGGGAGCGGCGGCCGGGGTCGGCGGACGACATGCCTGCAGCAGGGGAGGATGACCTTGAGGATGACCTTGAGGATGGCCTCGACGAGTGCCTTGAGGAAGGCCTTGACGAGGGCTTCGAGGAGGGCTTTGAGGAGGGCGCCGTGGAGGCGGTTTGCGAGCCGGGGCCGAGAGAGGGGCTGGGGTCGCGGGAAGAGTCGGGATGGGGCTTCCGGTCGAGGCCAGGAGAGTGCTTGAGGTCGGACTTCGGGCCGAGGTCGGGAGACTGCCTCGGGTCAACCTTCTGGCCGAGGTCGGGAGAGTGCTTGAGATCGGACTTTGGGCCGAGATCGGGAGAGTGCTTGAGTTCGGACTTTAAATCGAGGCCCGGAGCGGGCTTGGACTCAAGCTTCGCGCCGAGGTCCTCACTGACCACGGGGTCGGCCTCGGGGGCGGGGACTCGCGTCACGACGTACGACTGCTTGGCCCCCATGGGCGTCGAGCACCGGGTCTGCTACACTGGCTACGCGCGGACGGAATGGCGCGTCCTTACCACCAGGGAACATCTTATTGCCTCGGTATCAGCGACGCGGCGCTTCCTCTGTTCCATGGGACGCGCGTCCTTTGCAGTTATCATCGGTGACGTCATAGCGAGCGATAGCGTTCGGCGTCGGGACTCATTTACGAGCGCGAAGCGCAAACAGGGATTAGCTGTGACGGCAGGAAGTGCGACCGGACGACCAATTGGCGAGGATCAGGCGGGGGCAGAAGTCAAGCGGTGACCAAAGTCTCAAGAGTGGGGGCAACAATCAAGTGAACTCTTCCCGTGGCGGATTGAGTACTCACCGCTGAGGCTGCCGGCGTGGGTGAGCGGCGTGGCGGTGCCCGTCCTGGGCGTGGTGAAGCCGAGCGGCGTGGCGGTGCCCGTCCGCGGCGTCGTGTACCCCGAGCTGAAGGCGGACCGCAGTTCGGCCAGGTCGCCGGCGATGGAGCCGTCCCTCTTCTGGCACGTGGTCACCTTGCGCTGCGTGCGGTTGCCCCGGAACGTCTCCACCGTCTCCCTGGTCAGCGTCTCCACCTTGGGGATCTGCCGGCAGTCGGCGTTGCAGTGCGGAAGACCGGCGGAGGCGGACAAAATTCTGAACGCGTTTTGAGCCCCAGAGTCGCTGAATGGAACTCGAACCGAACGAGCGACCCCACCAATGGAGATGCTCCCCGAACGAGGAATCCATTGGTGAGGTCACTCGCTCGTTTCGGCTCCCATTTAGCGACTATGGAGCTCAAAACGCGGCTAGATTTTTGTCCGCCTGCACCGATGGTCTTCTGGTCCACTGCGCATGGGTTCTCGAGCGTCAGGAAGTTGCATTGTAGCTGAAGGACAAGAAATCCGCCGAGCGATTCCGAAGATTCGTTTTTCGTCGCTTTACATCTCTCGCACCTCTACGCAACGCAACGCCCTACAGGTGCGACAGAGACAGAGCGACGAAAACGACTCTCAGTCCGCCGCAGAGCGGGAGCGTACCTCACTGCCCTGCAGCGACGTGAAGACCCTCTGCTCCGTCTTGCGGACCATGATCACGCGGGACAGCGCGCCACCGGTCTCGGGGTGGCCGTTGGGCCCGTGGGCCAGCGAGGTGAACCGCGTGAGGTCCATGGACGCGGGGCCCAGCGGCAGGCGGGGCGCGGACGACACCCTGCAACAACAACAACAACGCACCGTCAACCAAAACAAAAACAAAAACAACAACAACCGAACACTTGTATGACGACAACCAATCTGGGGTTTCGTTGTCATCGTACAAGTGCTGGCCCGGTCAAAGCGACCAGCTTTTGATTTTAGACATACATCGGATTTTCGATTGCAAGCTATCGAATCCAACCTATCGATCGATCGAACAGAACAGAGTCAATGATGAGGTTGTAGGAAATTTATTTTTTCCGCGCGGGCCGACGCGAAGGGCGGATACAGCTCCCACGGGATGGGCTTCGCCCGGCTTCGCCCGGCTTCGCGATCGCCAGGACAATTATCCAAGGAGACGGGCAGTCGGCAGCAGAAGACGCCGTGGGGCGTGGAGGCCCCGATAATTTGTCGCGCAGTGGAGCGGAGAGCGGCGAGTGTGTAAAGGTCGCAGCAAGGTCGAAGTACCAAAAAACTGTAGATGCTGCGATACATCGGTCCGATTAATCGAGACTCGAGGCGCTTGCCGCGCTGCGGCGCTGCATCGCCACGCCGAGGCCGGGCCGCTTGCGTGCGCTTGGCGCTTTGCACTCGCGTTAAGCGCGATGCCCCCCCCCCTCCACGAGGGCCGCCCCTGGCCGCCCCGCGGTCGTCATCCTGCCTCCAGAAAGCGTGGAGAGGCGCGGCCAAGAGCGCTGGACCGGCCGGCCGGCAGAGCGGCGCTCAATTAGGTAATTAATTGATTAATTAATTAATAGAGGAGAGTGCCTCTGGCCCACTGGCTGCCGCCAACAAGGCGAGCCGTGCGTCCGCCGGCCGGCCGGGGCGTCCCACAGTGTCGCGCGTATGGTCGCGCGCCACGCACCGCGCACGCCGCAAGCGGTGGACAAGCACAGCAGGCGCGCACAGTGGGCCGGAAGACCGGTGGAGGCGGTCAAAATTCTAGACGCGTTTTGAGCTCCAGAGTCGCTAAGTGGGACCCGAACCAATCGTGTGACCCCACCAACGGATTGCTCTGCGAACGAGGAATCCATTGGTGGGGTCACACGTTCGGTTCGAGTCCTGTTTAGCGACTCCGCGGCCCACTGCGGCGCGGATGCTGGGGGAAGCTGGGCGAAGCCGTCTGATTGGTGCGGGTAACAAGTCGCTGTACTCCTGAAGGTATCGTCAACTTTGGCGACTTCGCTCGTCCCCCCTGAATCAGTCTCTGGATCCACCCTGGGAGCACAGTGAGGTGAGGTACCGACATGGCGATCTCGTTGGGGCGAAGGCGAAAGCCGAAGTCGGCGGCGAGCGGATGAGGTTGCAGTTATGACTCCATCACGCTGCGACGCGGTACAACACGGCGCGGCAGGGCACGGCGTGGCGCGGTTCGTGCGACACGCGCGACGGGCACCGCGGCGAAAGGAGCGCTCGGCCAGACGCAGCGCCGGCGCCGGGACGTCTGCCGCGACTGACGGCCACCGCACTGGCCGCGCCGCGTTGTACCGCGAGGAGCCGGAGCCCGCGGCGAGCCTGGAGGCGCCTGGAGGCCCACGCCGCCGAGCTCCGGGGGGCAAGCCCCGCGAAGCCCCGCGAAGCTCCGGGGGGCCGGCGGCTCGGCGGCGGCTTGGCTTCGGCGGCGTCCCGAGCAAACGCGGAGCGTGGAGCGCCTCCGAGGGCCCCACCGAGGGCCCCACCGAGGGCACGGCGCGTCCCGCTAGGCGCTACGCATGTCAGCCTGGGCCCCCGCGGCCTGACAGCGCCGCGTATCATCTCAGAGCGCCGCCCAGCAGGCTGATTGCGGATGGCGCTAATTTCGTCGCTCCGTCTCTCTCGCACTCATGAGGCGGCCCGTAGCGGTGCGAGAGAGATAGAAGCAACAAAGCGCTGCAGAGGCTGCGCCCGCTTCGGCACATAATTGGCGGCTTAATTCCAGTTAATCAGTTGTTTGGGTCCCGCTTGGGCCGCGCCGGCGCCCCGCTCTCGCTCTCTCTCGCACACTCACTCTCGCTCGGGCGCGGTAATAATTCAGCGGTTTTCCTTTCAGGCCGGCTCGCTTCTCGCCGCCGCGGACGCCGATAACGCAGGAAAACGAAAGGCCGTCCCGGCCACCCTGGCCGGCCGGAGAGTTTACAGTGCAGTGCACGCGGAACGCGGATGGGATAGGGACGCCCAGCAGACTGATTCTGAGAGTCGTTTTCGTCGCTCTGTCTCTCTCACACCTCTACGGGACGCCCCATGATCGCGAGAGAGACAGAGCGACGAAAACGACCATCGGAATCAGTCTGCAGCTGGTCTTCCGTCCCAGCCGCCACTCGCCCTGACACCGACAGGTTGATTCCAAGCTGGGAGGCCTCTCTCTCGCACTCATAAGGCGTCCCGTAGGGGTGCGAGGGAGACAGCCCGGCAGACCGCCGGTCGGAATGAGCCTGCTGGTGATCGAACCAGAATCCGCGTCCCCACGCCTCCAGCCTCGCGAGGAACCATGCAGTGCAGGCACCATGGCGGAAGGGCGGCCTTTCTCTGGTCGCCTGCTTCCGTCGCTCTGTCTCTCTCGCACCGGTACGGACCGCCCCGTGAGTGCGACAGAGACAGAGCGACGAATAACGATCTTTCGGAACCGGGCGGCAGGACCAGGTCGAGGATGACGTCAAGGGAGAAAGAAGAAGATGCCACGGAAGAAAAAGACCTGGCGACACTTTATGTGTCGTCGACGTCGCCCGTCGCCAGGCTCCGGAGCTGTCGCCTCGGAGTCGGAGGAGAGGGAAGACCAGATCCAGCCGACGAGGATGTGGATACCGTTTCTTTTTTCCATTTCCTGGAATTCCCCCTTTTTTTCACGGCGTCTCCCGGTTTTTGCAGCATAACAGTGTCAATTAAAGATCCCCCTGCGCGTCCCCGCCCTCGCCTCGGCCCGCCTCGCCTACCTCCGCTTCCTCGGCGTCGCCCTCCTTGTCGCGTGGGTGCGAGTGAGTGAACGATGCCTGTCACGCATAGCTACCCGGAGGGCCTGCCTGCCGGCCGACTCCGAGGAACGCCTCTGTCCGTCTCTCTCGCACTCACGGGGCGTGCCGTGTGGGCCGTGTGGGTGCGAGAGAGACGGAGCGATCCTTCGCAGCCAGGCGGTGCGGGGCCGGTCGTAAACAGAAGCGCCACGCCGCCGTCGCGCAGCCGACTTAACAACATCGTGACTGAGTCGGTGGTTGTCACTTTGTCGTCCAACGTCCCAAAAGTTTCTCCGTTTCTGCTTTGCTTGGCGGATTTTCAAAAACGCTGGTTCTCTCTCCCGTGTGTTTCACATTTCGCACTTCGTGACGCGAAACTATTAATCCCCGAAAATAACACGCTCTCCGGGCGGCGGATGCTAAACGGAGTGGAAAACGTAAATGCGGCCGCCGCACTGCCTCCTGACGGCCTCCTTGACGGCCTCCTTGACGGCCTCCTGGACGGCCTCCGCGGGCGTTGCAGTGTTATTACAGAACGCGCCCCGCCTGCTCCTGCTAGTCTATGCCGGTCTATGCTCGTCCAGCCCGGCCGCCCGGCCACGCGGACTTCCAGTGCCCCAGCGCCTCGGACGCCCATTAGTCCATTACTGCCGGCAGCGGGCGAGACGGCCCGGCCGGCCAGTCGGCCCGAAGTTCGGACTTGGGCTTCACGCCGCCGCGCGGCAGCCAAGCGATTTGGTCGCTCTGTCTCTGTCGCACTCATGAACCTCTCCACAAGGGTGCGAGAGAGACAGAGCGACAAACCGATCTTCAGAGCTGTGGCGGAGTGTGAAGTGCCGCTTCACGACGCGTCGCTCAACTTGAGCAGCGGACTGATTCCAAGAGTCGTTGTCGACGCTGTCGCTCTCGCACCTCTGTGCGGGACGGGGACGCCCCATGAGTGCTTCGGCTCGCGGAGAGCGCGGCGTCGTCCGTCCGTCCGGGGCACAGTGGGCCAGAAGCCGGTGGAGGCGGCCAAAACCCCGGACGCGTTTTGAGCTCCAGAGTCGCTGAACGGGACTCGAACCGAACGTGTGACCCCACCAATGGATTCCTCGTTCGGAGAGCAATCCATTGGTGGGGTCACACGTTCGGTTCGAGGCCCATTTAGCGACTCTGG